GACCATCAACTCAATGACCTGCCCATTGCCTTGCATTGACTCACTCAGGAACAGAGACAGAACCCAGCATTTGAAAGATAAAGAACCTACAGGAACCCAACGTTTGGAAGACAAAAGACCCTACAGAAACCAGCTACCCCACCATTGTATTCCCCCAGACAACGAGGACACCTGGGTCTGCACGTATGCATCTGAGCAGGACTGGCCCTTGCCTGGGCATGTCCTTCCCATAGGAGACGCAGGTTGACCACCTCCTTGGGACGCCCTCCTCATCTGGACCAGCGCTATGCCATGACACCTATCCACCCAGAGGCCCTGTCTGCAACACCCCCCCACCCCAGACAGCACCTTGCTAGAGAAGACCCCAGTTGACCATCAAGGATCAACTCTCAGCCTGGGATAGGTAGCTATTACCCACCTTCTTCCCCCAGGCAAGGGACCTGAACTCTGTCTCTATATACCTTGACCTCAAATCCTTCCATTAAGCCTTTCCTCATCTGCTACCATTGTGTGTGTGTGGAGTGGGGGGAGGAGTGTTTGTGCATGTGTGGGAACTGGTAACTTCATGGGGCTGTGTAGTGTGTTGCCTGTTTAGTAAAACTGTTATTTTGGAACCCTGAGTTGGGTTTTTGTCTTACTGACCTCCTGGCCTTGTTCCAATCTCTGCTGTCTGCGCCCCTGACCTTCGTTCTGTCTCTCTCTCTGCCACCTCCAAAGCCCTGGCTCTGCTCTCCTCCAAACCCCAATTTTCACCACCCCTCATTTCCGCCCCACCACCCCTTTACCTCTTGCTCCGCCACTCCTCCTCGCTGCCGCCCAGTTTTCCTTCCCTGACTCCACAGCCTGCTTTGCTGTCTCTAGCCCTGGCATTTTCCCTCGCTTCCACCTCAGCACCAGTAACCCTAAGTAAACCCAGGGCACTTTGACCTCAAGTAACCCTGAGCACCAAGTTACCCCAAATTCCCCCTGGTGTTAATATACAGCTACAGAAGTGCGTGTTTGTGTATGTGTAGGTGTGTGTGAACTCATAGTGGTGTATGTGTAGTTTGTATGTGTGTATATAATTTTGTATCACGCCCTCCTGTCTAACAGCGCAGTATTGAGATCCTGACATTCTGACGCATGTCAAGTCAAAAAAGGAGGAGCTGTTCCACCAAAGGATGGAGTTTAAGGAGCTCCAGGGAAGCTGTTGAAGAGCAGCTACTCTTTCATTGCAAGGATCTTGAAAACAATGACCTCTTAATTCAAGGACTGACTTGGTTTATTGCCCTTGTCACATTAAATTATTTCCAGACAGAATAGACACTACTTCTTTGACTGAACTCCTATAGTGCTCTCATCTTCACTTGTTATGTGGATGGAAATTTGTACTGTTTTGCACTTGAATAATGGGTACTTAAAACAGCATAAAGGCTAACAGTTCAGTGCTCTAATAAGAGCTTATCCTCTTGCTTTTGTTCATAGAAATAAGGGACGAGAAGCCTGCAGACTCCAGCTGCTGGTGCAGCCAAAAGGATAGGGGAAGTGTCAGCTGGGTGGGAGCCTGGGGCTGCAACTTACCCCTTGTGGGCCACATGTGTTTTGTGGGCCACCAGTTGGAAAGCCCTGTTTATAGATTATATTAAAATAGTTTTTTTAATAACTGTAGTTTCTCTAAAAGAACAGAACCAATCTGGGTAATGATAAGTAATGGTAGAAGACTTAAAAGTCCTTGAATTCCCACAGCAATTGCCTGTAAAATCAACTATTAGCTTTGCAGTAACTCACAACACTCATTAATGTAATGAAACTACCATAAACAGGTTTAGAAAATTAATGTGTTTTAATATAGTAAAATTAAATGTTGTTATGTTTGGTTTCTTTTATGTTTATGAAGACCTCATAAATAATCACCTTTCAGCATTCCCATCGCTTGAGATATAATATGTTTCAAAATCAAAATTGCACAATAGTCTCTGGCGCATGTTGTGCTTAAGACGTGATTAACCAGTTAATCACGTCTTAAGCTGTTAGCTGGCCACACACTAATGAAATAAATGGCATGATAAAATTAGGACTAAGCCACTTAAAATGTGTAATAACTTTGTGGTTGGTTCCCATCATGCCATTTATTGAACGTGTGGTCAGAATGAGGCTTTCAGCCATGGGCTGTGCTCCCATGTCTGGGAGCCCTGTGTGCTTCTACACATAGGAGCCTGGATCAGCTGATTGGGCTTCTAGTAGCAGAAGCTTATGGTGAGTCCCCACAACCTGGAGCCTGGATCAGCTGATTGTGATCCCAGCCATGGGAGCTTGCTACTTGCTGGTACAGGTGGAACCTGGGGTTCCAGACTCCTCCTGCATTAGCAATAAGGTGTATGACGTGACGGGAAGCACCGTTATGGGGATTATACACTGGATCCCATTACACTTTTATTCACATGTCTGCCAAGGGCCAATGTGTGCACTTCTGTGCCTGGAACTATCATCAAGTTGTCTTAGTAATTCAGACTGGACTCTAAATATATAAAATCTATTTGTTTTATTTTTGAGAATCTTGAAAGTACATCTCAACTGATATACTTACAAACTTTGAACAGACTGTAAAATAATTATTACAGAGCACACAGTAATCATTTTTAGACACTTCAGCGATGTATATTTTACAAGCTTTTTATAGTAGGCTTCTGGTCTTATTTAAGGGAGGAACTTTTAATCTAGAGAGTTGCATCGTACAATGTTTTTATTAGATGGCTTCATGCAGCACTCTGATCTTGGCATAGCTGCCCTCACTCTAATCTACCATCTTACCCTTCCATTGGTGATCCAGAGGTATTTGTATGAGTAATGAGGGGATTATCTACACGGATTCAATTCTTGGGGTTCATGTACCCCATGTATGAAGACTGGATTCACTCTGAAGAACAGTTATGCGTTATATCACAGTTGAATAACTGTTGTGGCCACATAAATATTCTTTGTACCCTTCAGGCTGCATAAAGATTAAAGGGGTGGGATAGCCGCCACTGCCACTCAATGCAAGATAGAACACCAACAGCATGAGAACTTTGTTTAAATAAAAGTACAACGTAAAAGCCCCAAGATATGTATGAATAGGTAGAAATTCCAACTTTAGGAGCTAACTAGATTTCAAGTAATCTTCGGTTTTTTTATATCCATATTCTCATTATACACTACTAACAAAAGGTGTAAATATAGTGATTTTTGTTGTTGTTTCTCTCTTAAGTTAACCTGTTGAATGGTTGAGTTAATATTCACAGAATTGTGTAGTAATAGTATTCCAAGTTCTGTATTTTCTAAGAAGAACTTTGGTATATCTATAACTTGGAGGGTTTTGTCTTACTGATGATGGTGGCTTGGCCATTTCATCTAGTAATTGGAGGGGGGGGGCAGTAGCCTTATTTCAATGTTTAAGACAATGTTTAGGTAACAAGTAAATATGAAACTAATTAGTGAAGTAAGTCACTCAATGAGCAATGAGTTCTGTTCACTGTCCAGTCATTAGAATTTTGGATTGACTGGTATTAAAGAGCAAACTGGGCACATCTACACATGTGCATTTACTGCACAGTAATCAAAATTATGCTACCCATGCACACCCATACTGTGCAGCAAATATGGCAACGTACACCAACTTGAGCGTAAATTTGATACCTGCATCATACAGGTATCACATTTGTGCCTGAGTAGTTACTGTGCAGTAATACACCTATAGATGCGTTACTGCACAGTAACAGAGTGTGTATGGATTGACTTAGAACTGAACTTTAGTCCCAAGTCAGTCCACGCACAGTGTTAATGCGTTTTAACCCCTGTATGTCTAGATGTCAGCCTATTCCTGCTTACTGCACAGTGAATTTAACCTAGCGTAAATGCACATGTAGACCCACCCACTGTATTCTGTAGTGTTCTGAAGAGGAAGTACAGCAGTGTTTAAATCAGTTTTAGGTGTGAAAGGGCAAAGGAGAAGGTTCACCTGTTGTCAACCTGTAACTTAAAGATTACTTTATTTTCCAACAGAAATGGATTGATGGCGGTCTTACCAATGGCCTCCCTATCCTGCCTGTGGGAAGGACAGTGACTATTTCTCCTTTCAGTGGTCGATTAGATATCTGTCCACAAGATAAAGGCCATGTAGATCTCTATGTTAAAGTTGCAAAACAAGATCTAATGGTGAGTCATTTGTTTTCATTTTAAAATAGATTTAGTAATGGAAGAAATGTTTGAAAACTTTAAATTTAATTATTTTAAGTTTTGCAGATTAGTTTATTTATTAGAGTAGATATCCCAGTCAATTTTACCATTTAGGCAAGGGCTAAGAACCTTCCTATCTTCGTAATGATCCTTTCTGACCTTAAACACTGAATTGTCTAGACAAACCTTACACATGCATTGCAGACCAATTAATTCAAATACCTCTGTACTGAATCTAATAACTTCAGTTCGACTAAAGGACTATTTTCTCTTTAGCTAAATTATCTTCTAGAAAGCAACCCATCCTTGTTTTGAAGACCTCACAAAATGAAGAGGTGCAGCTTTCTCTGTTCCGATGACTAAATTATTTTCACTGTTAAAGATTTGTGCCTTATTTATATTTTGAATTTGTATATTTTCAGCCTCTAACCCTTAGTTCTTGTTATGTCTTCTTCCATGATGTGGGAGTCTTTTACTATCTGACACTTTCTCTGTTATAATTGTTCATATAATAATCAACTTACCTCTCAGTCCTCCTTTTGATGAACTCTTGATATTTCATATTACAGGCATTTTCTTCAGCCCTCAGGTCATTTTATAGTTGTTTTTCCTACTTTGTCCAGATTTTTCTTAAAACGTGGATGCCAGAGCTGGCCGCACTTTTTGCAGCATCAAACTTACTAATACATAAAGAAAATCACCTCTTTACTTATTCCTGTGTTTGTCAAAAAATGAAGAACATTTTTCCATTTTCTTTATAGTAGCCTTTCAAAATATCTGAAAGTTGCTATGTGCTTTCCATCCTCATCCCCTCCAAAATAAATATACCTTGTTCCTTCATCCTTTTTTCATGTGACTGAACGTCTTTATCATCTCTGTCTGACTCTGCACTGTCTCCAGTTTCTATACACAATCCTTAAAATCTAGTGCCCCCAAACTGAACATGCTCTTCCACCTGAGGCCTATTAGCACTGAATAGTGGTACTACTTTCTAAGTCGTGCACGTGATACTCTATTAATGCAATCCAAATGCAAAACGCAAGACATTTGTTTCTTTTTACAACAGCTTAATGTTGATTTGTATTTGGTTCGTGATTTGCCATAATCTCAGTCAGTCTCAAAAGTGCTGTTGCCAAGCTTGTTACTCCCAATCTCAAAAATTTTGCTTTTTCCTTCCTTACGTATAACCTTACAGTTGTTTTTGTTGACTTTCATTTTGTCATCTATAGTTCACATTTCAAATTTATCAAGATCCCTTTGAATTTTAATTCTGTCTTAAAACTGTTTGCATCCACATCCGGATTTGACTATATGACTGTATCCAAGTCATTAATAAATGTTAAGCACCACTGGACTGAAGACAGGCCCTTGTGGAGCCCTACTTGAGATTTCCAGCCAGTGTGACATAAACTTTTTAAAAAATATTTCTGCCTTACTTATGATTATTTAATCCATTATATGTTGGTTAATATATATAACTTAACAGTAGTTCTGTCTGTCCCACATATCTCCATGTGTAATATGGAGTTCAGGTACTTAAAGCCTAAACTAAGCCCATGTTTGCCCACTGCTTTCTCCTTATCCATCAAACTTATCAGAAAGGTAGGACAGATTGGCACCAGTTAGACACTAACTGATTTAAGAGGCCTAAGTCTTTGTAGGAAACAGGCTGCTTCACCAGGTAATATTTGATAAAGTAGGCTGCTGCCTACAGAAGCTTATTCTCTCTGTGATTAGTGTCTAAGGCGAGGTACAGAAACCTGTCTATACCTGTAACAGAAAAGAAGTTTGGTGCACATAGATGGGTTCCACCATTTTTAAATCAGTCTACGATTTGAGCCTCTCCGCCCCACCAAAGGGTGAATGTGTGTCCTGTTCACAACTGATCGCAACTGTGTTGCTTACAGAAAACCACATAACTTGGATCAGTTCTGCCTCGGGCTTGCTGAATATCTGTATCTAGCCCAAGGTGCCATCTAGCCTTGCCTTCTTCCTTACTTCAAACTAACATAGCTAACCACCTCTCCCTGTCAAAGGAGATCAAGTGGGATTGGTATAATTTGTTCCTAACAGATCTGTATTGTCTGTCTTATAATTTTTTTTTCTTTTCACTTCATCTTCCAGATGTTTATAAACTGATTATTTTATCATTTGAATTATTAACTTTCTAGGAATTGAAGTCATGCTGACTAGTTCAATTCCCTTGGGTTATCCTTTTTCCTGTCTTTGAAGAAAGTTGCTGTCATCCCAGTGGGGGACGATTGCAAGTATTCTTGCCAGTGGCTCCAAGATCGCGTTAGCTGTTTCTGCCAGTACACTTAAACTAAGTTCTAGTAGGCTTTGCTGACTGAAACTTGTTCAGATTTGTCAGACTTTCTGTAAGGACCTTGTTTCATGTTGCACTTTGAGCTGCTTAAATGTTCATTGATGTGAGTTATAACTTAAGTTTGAAGCAATCGCACCGTAACACTAAAAAAGTCTGACTGTCGTTGACCTGTAGAGCTCTGACTTTCCACTAGAGGGCACATGAGTAGGAGCCTGACTAGGACCTATAGCTGCAATTTACCACTAGAGAGCTGGTGAGTCAGGACAGGCTTTTATCTCTGTTCAAGTGGGGGTGTGTGAGAGAGATGGGTTGAACATGAAGCTGGAAGGTAGAAAGTTAATGGGATGGGGGTGGGTAATGAAATGGGAGGTGGAAAGGAAATGAGGATGGGGGATGAGTGGTGAAATGAAGGAAGTTGGCCATTGAAGGATAAAATAAAAAATTCAAAAAGATATACAGGTAGCTGCTGCTCAACTCTGTTTCACTTCGTGCTATTTAGCTATAATGCTCATTTTAAATTGATACCTGATTTCACTTAGCTCTCAGTGAGTTTCATTATAATGCTCATGGTCACCATCTTGGGTCATTAAAAAAAAACTTGCAGTTGTCATCATGGGTCATCAGATATTTTTGGTTTTGCTTAATGCTCATTTCACTTAATGATCAGTTTTTCAGGAACCAATTAAGAGCACTAAGCAGGGGTTGCAAGGAAAGGGAAAATAAATTAAAGAAGGTCTTATGGTTTAATAAATTGGGACTTGGGTTTGGAGTGTGGGCATGCTGTGTGCTGGCCATGCCTCCTGGGGTGGCTGAGACCAGTGAGGGAAGGTTCCTTGTGGGCAGCTACTGTCCCTGCCCTAGGAAGGAAGCCCCAGCTGACAGGGATGCGATCTAGCCACTACCTTTTTTTTTTTTCTTCTTTCTTTTTTTCCCCCCCCACTCCCTACTTCGCTCCCAGACCTGTCCACACCCTGCAGTTTGGCTAGCGGGTATGTGCTCTGCAGGCTGTTTGCATGGAGTTGTGCTCCTGGTCGTGGGAAAGTCATGCTCCTGGGGGCCGGAGGGAAAGTTGACTTGGTGCCAGAACACACCTTCCCCCCTGACCCTCCAGGGCAATAGAGTTCAAGGAGTGGAAGGTTTGTCCACACAAAACAGAAGAGTGGGGAAGGGGATGGGACACTTCATCCTGAGATGCTGGAAAGCAACTCGAGTGGCTCATCTGTGGGCAGTGGCCACACATTAATGGAACACTAGCTGGGTAGCGCCAACCAGAGATAAACCTGCCCTGGACTGGTGTAACTTTAAGCTGTCTAAAGTGTGCTTAAAACTAATATAATTTGTGCATGTGTGAACAATCCAGGGGTTAAGAGCTGCCTAAAATTAATGTGTAACAAGACTCTAACATGTTCTTTGCTGATGATTATTATCTTTTAACCTGTGTCAAATAGCATGATGACAGGCTTCCAGCATTGTGCCAGCTCTCTTTTCTTTTTTTTCCTTTTATTTTGTCTACCTGTGGTTCTTACCTAATTTAGCCCTTTTGAAGTCTAATATACTTGTTTTGGTGTTCTCATGACATCCTTTTCCTACATTAATGATTCTCTCATATCATGACCACTTCATCTGAAGCTTCCAACCACTTCCACGTTCTAAACTAGTTTACCCCTGTTGGGCAGAAACAGATGCAAAATAGATGACCTTGTTGTTTCCCAAACTTCCTGAAAGAAAATCGTCTGCTGAGAATGTTAACAACTTTGGGTATTTTGTTTTTCTACATTTTTTTTTTCTTCCAACAGAAATTGGAGAAATTTTAAGTAGTTCATTATTTCTAATAATTACTATTATTACTAAAAAATTTTAGCATTTGAAGAATCTCTTGTCCCCCCTCTTCTTCCTGATTTGGTGAATTTATAGTAGACCCCCAGCACTTTTCTTTTTCTCACTTTAACTTTGCTGAGGTAGGTTAAACACATCTTACACTCATTTTTCTTGGACCTTGGGACAAGTATATAATTCTTGACATACAGTAGAGCACTTCCTATTCTTTTACAATACCAATATTTCTAAAACAAGCTGCATCCGCTCAATGTGGGATTTCCAGTTACATTATCCCTTGAATCCTAATTGCACAATTATAGGTAAGTTTTTACCATCCTTGTTAGTACTTGGTTTAAAGCCCTCAAAAATTTAGCCATTGCCCAAGGCTGCTCTTCCCAATCTTTGTTATAACTACATTAATTATCTTTTCTGAAGAATTAGCCTGTTACTGAAGAAGCTAAAGCCATCATAACCATAAATAAAGACATGGAGAGCATACTTATCAGGGTTCCTGGTTTTCTCTGATTTAAAAAAAAATCCCCAATTTTGGGGTTTAAAAAAGTAACCCAAAATCCACATGTTTCCATGATTAAAATGAAACACCACTAATACATAAATCTATATTTTTAACCTGAAAATTGTGAATGTTTTTAATTGGAGAAAACCAGGATCCCTGCTTATATCTACACTTACACCTTAATAATCACAAGTGTATCCTGAATAGTCCTCAGATTGTTGGAAACATCATTTTCTTATGCTTAAGAAATAAATAGAGAACAAGAAAATCAAGTAGTTTTAGATGTGAACAAATTCAAATGTGAAATATCTCTCTCTTCTAGTTGTCCGTAGCTAACTTGATAAGACTTAATCAAGCTCTGTTTCCACCAAGTCAGAAGAAAATGGAATCATTGTTCCAAAATGGATTTGATGATGCTGTACACTTCCTATTAAAGGAAAACTGGTTTGAATAGATTGTGTGTACAAAATTAACAAAGTTAGATGGTCTTCGAAGCTAAGCTTCATACTTCATGCAGGATCTGTGGAGTAGCTGTTATAATTGCTGTTTATCAAGTGCTAGATGAATGGCACCCATTGGCATCAACAGATATACAGGGGCCTTTATCTGGAATTTGTATGTGTGTCCAAGTGGACATTATTCACATGGTGAATTAAGCTGCTGTCTGTGAAGGTGTTATACTAAAATATACTAAATTTGTTATAGCTGGTCAGAATTTGTAGCATGTATAACTATTGAAGTTCATTGTGTGATATTCTAGGAAGGTCTTGAAAATGTTTCTAATATTAATCATTTAAGAAACTTATTCAGGTTTTTTATTCCTAAAAATATGCATTGTTCCTAGTTTTCTTAAGTTTTGAATAGTCATTTTGAATCCTGTTTTTGTGCACATTACATTGACTGGCTACAGTGCTGCTATTTATTTTTACTCCAAAATCAGTTTTCTACAGTATGTTATCAAGTATGGATTCTAATTAAACAGACTGTAGGGAGGAAAACCCAATTTAATTGCATTTATTATAATTTGTCATTAGCATTTATTGGCTATTAAATTGGTTCTTTGTCTCTCTAAATTCTGTAATGTCCATCTGCTTCAGAATTTTAAAAATGTAATACTTCTGTAAATGTAATTCAGGAACAACCTTTTGAAAATATATTTTCATTCAGTTTTTCTTTATCTACTAAATTTGAATAAATGAATGTAGTTTTGGAACCTTGTTGAGTGTTTCCTTGTAAATCTTCACAATTCTCTGGTACATCAATGACTGACTTGGGGCAAACTATCAATTTTCTTTGAAAAAAGGGTATGGAAATGCATGCTTTCTTGCCTTTACTTTGTGTACCATTAAAGTTAATGGAACATTTTTCCATTTAACTGAATGAGAGCAGAATCAAGGCCCAGGCATGTAATACATAAAGCGATCCCTGGTAATATCATAGTGTTAAGTTATTTGCAAAAACTGAAGCAGTATTTTGGAGGCCTAGTTGAAATGTTGTCATCAACATCAGTACTATAAGATTTCTCTTTATAATTAAAGTTGTGGTTTTACTAAGATCTGTTGCAGTAGCTCTGAGCTGGATTCAGATCCTTTCATGTGATTAGATTAGATTTTAATCTGCAGCCATAGATAAATAATTCAGTCTTGTATATGAATACTTTGCTGTATTGGCCCAGTGTGTCTTCATTGACTTAGACTAACAATCAGCAGTGTTTTCTAGTGGCCGCCAAATTGATCCCACTTGTGTCTGACCCAGGCCAGCACTAGGCTCCGGTTGTTACCACTTGGCCCCACCACCCGACTCCACTACGGCATGAGCAGTGTCCAGCTGCAGAGCAGGCAAAGGCCCCAGCTTCACAAGACATCCAGTAGCTCTGTGGGTCTTAGGTTGTTAACACCTGACTTAGATGATTTATATGAGACCCTGGTTTTCTAAGTGTTTTTTAATAAAGAAGTTAAAATGTGTGTTCTATGCATTTGCTTTTTGAGTGACGGCAGGATCTGTCACGTAGAATGCAAAGGAAAGCTGGAAAGCTGGCACACTGAAATTTCATTTACCTGTGTACAAAGACACAGCAGATTTGACTCAAAGGATGAGGCTGGTAAATAAGAATGTACTAAGAAGAAATGTTATCTACTTCTGTCAATAAATATTCGCTATTGGTGTGTTACCTTTGAATTTGTATAATTTTGAATAAGTGTTGTTATGTTAGCCACACATACACATACATACACTATCATCTTTCTTTTCGAGGTAAGCAAGAACCTCAAGGAAAACAGCAGCATATTGAAAAATTCAGTTTCAGATTTTTAGCGGAAATCAAGCAATTTTATAAAACTTTAAAACGTTTCAAATAATAGTCACTTTTGTATAACTTATTTTTATCGATACATTCCAATGCAGTTTATGAAGGATGTAAGGTATTTCCTTAACTGTAAAATAATAATGAAGGCATGGAAAAGTGAAGCAACTTGTTTGACTATCCTTTAGTTTGGACACAATGACCATGAGCAAACAACCTTTGACTGTTCTACCAGTACACTCAATGGGTGTCTTTACACATGCTCTGGGGATGGGGGAAAAAGGGAGCATTAAAGTGGCCACAATGCCTCGTGTATTCAGTATCCTGTGCTTCAAAATATTGACAGAAAAGCTTTAACTGAAGCTCATTTGACAATCGTGTCTGCCCCGATGTGCTGTAATCACAGCCCGTTGGAGCAGCAGCCGCATATGTCCATAGGCACCCAATGGTACTCAGATATGGTACCTGCTGTAAAATAAGGCAGGGTTTTTAAAACAATCTGGTATTCTGTCACCTCGCCAAGATACTACAAATCTGTCTGTTTTACCTATTTTGAAATAAGATTCCTGTTCCGTCTTCAGTCAACTCTACTGAGCACACCTAGCATGAGCTTTAAAAAGACCCTGTACAAGCCTTCTTAATGCCAAAGAAATTCATCACCACTGAATTGACTCAAGAACAGAGTAGTCTGCCATTTTTGGCTACTTAAAAGAGGCTACATATAGTTTTCTTAGATCCCCATGTTGCACAAGATGTTAGAAATAGTAATTGCCCATGTTGGCTATTAACCACCAAAGTAAATAAAAATATATTTTGATTTGGTTGTATTTCTTCCTACTTCCTTTTTGCTACTGTTGATAGCTGTATTATTTCTGAAGGAAGTACTACCACCTAGGCCAATGAGTGCTCTGCCATACTGAAAATTCCCCACAGGTTAGAGTGATTCTCTCCTGGCTTGTAATACCTGAAATAGCTGGAATCTGCTGATAGTGCAACAAAAAGCAGCAGTGACCCAGAAGAAACCTTGATCAAAATTATATTTTCAAAGAAAAAACTAAGATGAAATCCTAAATAGAATTCAGTTTTCTCCCAATGCTCTTTCCACCACATCCTTCCTCTACCCTTTTCCTCCTAAAAACAAGATTTTAAAAAATATATATAAAGTATAAGTGTTCATTCTTTGTTATATATATATTTATTTATTTGTTGTTTCCTTTTGTTCTCTCTTTGGCTCCTCTTCCCCTTAGCAGGAGTTGAATCCAAAAGTCCTGAGCTTATAAACACCAAAGGCAGAAACTTCCACTCAAGATTTCCTCTTCAATATTCATAGGTCATTATATTAAAATTAGTTTAAATAGAAGCCATGTGACTATTTCTTGAACATAGCATCTTAAAAGTGGGTGATTGAAATAAATGAATTGTGTTAAAAACTTGCGTTTTTTTTGCATCATAATGCCACTGTTTCTTAGTGTGATAGTTAAGAAAAAGATTAGTTCCGATACATTTTATTTGCAGTAATATAAAAAGTGCTACTTCTACCCATTGTTGAAACATGATTATTAGCTTTATTGGCTGTGTTGTCTAGGAAACCATCATCACTTCCTTTAAAAGTGTACATTTCATTAGCTTTGTTTTGAAAACCATTAACTTCAAACACATCCAAAACTAAGAAACAGAGAACAGATAATGGAATACACTATCCTTAGAATGAAAGGATGAGAATATCATCATGTGATCTCAAAAGTAAAATGCTAATATAGCTATAGTGGTAATTTTATCATGATTCATGGAATATTAGACTTTGCTAAAGTATATTTTCCCTTCTCCCCTTAACCACAGATGATGATCTGTTTAGGTGTTAAGGGACCAACATTATGATTATTGGGCAACACACAGTATCACTGGCCAGAACCTTTCTTCAAGATTTCCCAGAGGCATGCTGCAGTCCCCTCAAGTCCAAAGGAACTTGGGTGCCTCATGCTGTGGCGTAAAAATGTTTGAGCAAGTGGGGCATGAGCCCTGGGCATTGTCTAAAGGGGAGTGGACACATCAGAATGCAGTTAGGGGTGTGCCTTGCCCTCCCATCCTTTGTTTCCTCCTTCCCTTCCTGCCTGCCCCTTCCCCAGTTCCAGCAGCAAAGCGTACACAGCAGCAGTAGCAGCTCACAGTACCCTGAGCATTGGTACTGAGGGAGCAAGAGCTGGAGGTTTGCTGCTGCTGAGGCAGATGTCACCAAATATCTGTGTTTAAATAGCTGATCACCAGATATAGCAGCAGCAAAAAGAAGGTCCCTTTACATATCCTTTCCAGCTGCTGCTCCTGCACAGCACTATCCAGAGTGGAGAATTAGCTAGTTATATCTCTGGCCTCATGTACTGCCTCTGCTCTGGAAATGAGGGAAGATTTTGTTCTCCCAGATTCTGCATAAATCCCCTGTGTAGTGGTTTAGATATCTTCAGGGAAGGAATGTGGGAGAATGCCTTGTCTTTTTTATTATGTGACAGTACTACTTTAAATATGGAGGTAATCAATTGCATGTACAATATCAATACAGCTTTGTTCAAGACGACTGTCCACCATTTCCTAACTGGACACCTGATAGGAAAGGAAAAGATTATTTTTAATTGCTGTCTGAAATGATTACAAGCAGGAAAACCAGTTATATGTGATCTATTAGGAAATAAACAAATCATTTAAAAATGTTTCATACTTTCAGTTATTATGAACTGAGGAGCTGTGGCTAAATGCAGTGGCTTCCATTTTAATAATCATCTCAGTAAGGGAATGCACTGTGACATCTACCAAAAGTAGATGAGAGCGAAACACTGGGAAGTGGAGATTTTCATGTGCTTGTAAATAAACCACCAGCAAATGATATAAAACAATAGAGATCTAAAATAATTAACACAATTATAAAAACAAAAAAGGGGAAGAATCCCATTATTTACAATACATAAAAGAAGCAGGCCAAAAAAAAAGTTTGAAGTGCCAGTGTTCAAAAAAGATTAATCAAATCTGGAACTAGTTCAAAGAAGGCTTGCCAAAATTGGCTAGGATTTAGAGTTGTTTTCTTATGAAAAAAAAAAAAGATGAAAGAAGTTTGGTTCATTTAGTTTAGCCAAACAAAGATTAAGGAGACATATGATCACTCCTTAAAAATAGATTCACAGGGTGAACATGGAGAAAAGGAGGAGGTTTTTAGGTTGAAAACAGCAGCATGAGATCAAATACCTACAACTAGCTATAGATAACTTTAGATTAGAAATGAGAAGATTTCTAGCTATCAAAGTGGAGTTTTGGAATGATTTTCCAAACAAAGTATTGGGAGGTAAACAATCTGAATCTCTTTTACTCTTGCACTGAATTGTACATGCTGATGGAAAGAATTCTTCTGGTTAATGATTGCCTGCAAACACAGGGAGCTGGACTTGATGGTCCAGGAGGGCCCTTCCAGCCAAGTGTTCCTTAAAGAGCCACTTAAATCATCAAAATGTATAAAACACAGCAAGGCAAGCTTTTTTGGGTAGATGTGACATCTTGTATTAGACCATTTGAGTAGCTGAAAAAATGTTCTTTGCAAGCTTTTGGGCACAAGCACCCTTCCTCAGGCAGTAGGAATGTGCTAATCCTGTTTCATTCCTCCCACCCTTAAATATAAATAAGATTTAGTTCTTCGTTGTTGGAGAAGGAAACCTAAAGTGAAATAGAAGATTCTGTACTGGAACATTATATAGAAATAGTAAAAATACTAGGAGCCAGGAGGTTGATGTTGAGCCAGCAGCCAAAAAACCTCCTGTGTGGTGTGTGCTGCCTCTACACATTTCTCTTCTGTGAACAGTCATACGGTTGCTTAAGAATATAGCTAATGTGAGGTGTCAGAGTTCCAGAGCGTGGTACACTCCTTTCGGGT